AACATCCCAGGGATGGGGAAGGGGATACTACAGAAATCTTCATACGAGAAGCGCAATCGCAGAAAGAAGAACACAACCAGGCGGGCACTGTACTCACTGACCTTGCGCTGCAATCGGAACAAAGGGCAATGCAAGAGATACACCGGTTTCAGAAGCTGTCTCTGCTCGACCCGGACCAACCTGGAGAACCTCCCCCCACTAGACAATCCTTATATCATTGTCCAAGCCTTTGAAAAGCAGCGCGCTTATGCAAACCGCCCAGCCCTGCCAGACACGCCTAGGCTGGCCAAAGCATATAGACAGGGCCTGCTTGATTCTAACTATGGCCAGTCTATTTCCTTTCCATCGACATACAAATGCTGTTTTCGCCTTGAAGTGCCCGTGTGGAGTGATGTAGACAATGCACACTCCCCTCCTGAAAAGACCAATGCGTCCACGACTCTGGCTCAGCCTGTCCTGCCAGCTGTAGAAAATGTGGCTCAGCCGAGGGGACAAGGGCCCCCAGAAGCAGATCTGACTGCTGCTGATGATGTAGAAGAAATTGAGCGTGACGAAGAAACGTACTTGGTTCCTGCAGGGTACGGATGTTTCTCGTTTCGGCAAGGACTACTCAACCGTGCTGCACGCGCGTATGAAGTCCAAAGTGCAGGCAACAAGTACGAAGTCATTGCGGCCTGGCTTCTTGAAGGCCTGGCTGTCACGGTCTCTCGAACAAGTTGGAACATTCTCTCTACGGCGAGAAAGTGCACGATGACTGACTACTACTTGCTCCAGAACTATATTTCACCCAAGGCTTCCCGTCTGGGGTCCCCAATGATGAGCAGCGCCCCTATCTAGTGCCACGCCCAAACACGCTCTACAAGAACACGTGGGTGGATGCCATCACTCGCATCACACGCGACCCAACCTATTGGGGCTACACGGGAAGATTTTGCCGCGCTGGGGAAACCACTAACTTCCTTGCAACAATCAACCGAATCAACCCTGTCGTTGCAGAGCCAGATCCAGTCAATGCAACTGGAGCTGCTGCGGACACAGCGGACACGGAAGTGATTGCATCGGACACTGCTAACGAGAGCAGCTCGACCTCCTCTTCGTACAGTGTGCGCCACGTGGTAGCACCAGAGCAGGCAGCGGAGGCGGAGAGCACAGACGCACATTAAATTGGCTGTGACATGTGTTCCTGCAGGCGGTGTCCTCAGACACTGTGCTGACGGTAGCCAAAGCTAATCCTGGCAGCCTTGTCTGCAGCTTCAGCGGTCATTTTGGCCCGTTAGGAACCTGTGAAAATCATCTGTGTCTGTTTGACACTCTCGGACAAACATGCGCAAACACGCACAGCCCGCGTCTCAGTGACCAGGAGGGAGGAGATTGTAGTGGGGTTGCTTTCTTTTCAGCAGTAACCGATGGAGGATAGCGCCTTCAATGCCGCAGCCCTGGAAATGGTGAGACAGAGAATGACCTTTACTATCTCACCTCCACCACCATAGCAGGTAATGACATTGAGGTTGCAGCGCCAGTCAGTATCCATCATTGCTGGGAGATGTTAGAGGACTTCCTAGTCGAACAGCTCCCTGAGGTGAGTCAATATAGACTTTGGCTGCGAGATAACTCTCTTGCACCCGCAGACTCACGAAGCTCTTTGTGGCCCAATCCAGGACACCCTTTGGACGGCTACGCACTTTCACCTTGTAGTGCAGCAGAACTTCCAAACCTACGATCGCAAGCGCCAAATCCAAGGAGAAGAATATGAAGAGTATCCCAAGGCTGTGTGGATCCCAGCCAACGCCGCGGGCGTTGTCCCGGCCAATGCCTTCTCATCGGTGCCGCGGTTGCGACGCGTCTGGGCAGAGCCTACTCTGCACACTGTTGAACGGGAGGCATGGCGAAATTGCTACCAATTGCAAATTGTCAAGCTACCGAGCACAGTGGTGTCAATACAACACGCTGGTGTCCGCCCTTTTCCGCTGGCGATGTAGCATTTCTATTCATTTGTTTCCCAGGTCTGTCACTGGTGGTGTCCGCCCTTTTCCGCTGGCGATGCAGCATTTCTGTTCATTTCTTCATTTGTTTCCCAGGTCTGTCACTGGTGGTGTCCACCCTTTTCCGCTGGCCATGTAGCACTTCTATTCATGGTCTGTCACTGCTGGTGTCGTTCCTTTTCCGCTGGCCATGTAGCACTCCTATGCATGGTCTGTCACTGCTGGTGTCCGCCCTTTTCCGTTGGCCATGTGGCGTTTCTTCTATTCAGTTGTCTACCAGGTCTGTAGCTGCTGGTCTCCGCCCTTTTTTGTTGGCCATGTAGCGTTTCTGTTCACTTGTCTCTGAGGCGTGTCACTGCTGGTGTCCGCCCTTTTCCGCTGGCGATGCAACATTTCCATTCATTCCCCAAACAGTTTGCCGTTACGTAGGGTTTCTCAATTCTTTCTGAAGACGTGTCCGCCGTTTGTGTCACTGCTGGTGTCCGCCCATTTCCGCTGGCCATGCAGCGTTTCAATTCGTTTGTCTTCAAAGTGAATTCTTGACTTTTGTCTTCCAGGTCTTGTGCCTGCACTGCTGGTGCCCGCCCTTTTCCGCTGGCCACGCAGCATTTCTACTCATTTGTTTCCCATGTGGTTTGTTCACCTTTGTTCGGTGCCTGCGCTGCACTGCTGGCGTCCGCCCTTTTCCCTTTTCCAGCATTTCCATTCATTTGTCCCCCAGGTGATTTCTGTACTTACCCAAGCAGGTTTGTTAGGGGTTCTAAATGCTTTCTTGTTTCCGGACAGCGTGTCCGCCTTCCGTCCGGCTTGTCTCCTTGGTCTCCCTTCTTGTTGAACACTGTGTTCCCCCTTCTTCTCGCTTGCAACCCTTCATACATTTGTCTCCCAGCTCTGGGCTGCGTGTCGCTTGCAATCCTTTACATTTGCCTCCCTGTGTCTCCCAGCTCTGGACTGCTGTGTTTGCCTCTGCCTTGCAATCCTCTACATTTGTCTCCCAGCTCTAGGCTGCTGTGTCCGCCTCTGCCTTGCAATCCTTTACATTTGTGTTGCAGCGCTGGGCTGCTGTGTCCGCCTCTGCCTTGCAATCCTTCATTTTACATTTGTTTCCCAGCTCTGGACGTCGCAAGCTCTATGTTTCCCTTCTGTTCCGATTTTTAAAGCCTAAGGGCACATCATTTGCATCATAACAAAGATTTGATATGGTTGGGGTATTGTTAGGCTAGCTAATTTTTCACCAAACAGTTTGCTGTTAGCGGTTTCTTAAGATGTGTCCGCCCTTTGTGTCACTGCTGCTGTCCGCCCTTTTCCGCTGGCCATGTAGCATTTCTATTCATGTGTCTCCCAGGTCTGTCGCTGCTGCTGTCCGCCCTTTTCCGCTGGCCATGTAGCATTTCAATTCATTTGTCTCCCAGGTCTGTCGCTGCTGGTGTCCGCCCTTTTCCGCTGGCCATGTAGCATTTCTATTTATTTGTCTCCCAGGTCTGTCGCTGCTGGTGTCCGCCCTTTTCCGCTGGCGATGCAACATTTCCATTCATTCCCCAAACAGTTTGCCGTTACGTAGGGTTTCTCAATTCTTTCTTAAGATGTGTCCGCCGTTTCTGTCACTGCTGGTGTCCGCCCATTTCCGCTGGCCATGCAGCGTCTCAATTCGTTTGTTTTTAAAGTGATTTCTTTACTTTTGTCTCCCAGGTTCGGTGCCTGCACTGCTGGTGTCCGCCCTTTTCCGCTGGCCATGCAGCATTTCTTTTCCTTTGTTTCCCAGGTGATTTCTGTCTTTCCCCAACAGGTTGTTGTTACAGTAGGGGGTTCTAAATGCTTTCCAAGAGTGTCCGCCTTGCTGCCGGACAGTGTGTCCGCTTTCCGTCCGGCTTGTCTCTCTTTGTTTCCCTTCTTGTTGGTCACTGTGTCCACCTTGTCTCTCTTCATTCTTTCTTCGTCTCCGGTCTTGTCTCCCTTCTTGTGGGTCATTGTGTCCGTCTTGTCTCCCTTCTGTTTCCTTTTGTTTCCCTTCTTCTTGATCATTGTGTCCGTCTTGTTTCCGTCTTGTCCCTCGTGTCTCCCTTCTGTTTCCTTGTTGTCCCCCTTCTTGTTGGTCATTGTGTCCGCCTTGTCTTCCTCTTTCCTTTACATGTGCCTCCTCTCTCCCCCTCTCGCTTGCAACCCTTCACATGTGTCTCCCAGCTGCTCTGCCCTGCAATCCTTTACATTTGTCTCCCAGCTCTGGGCTGCATGTCGCTTGCAATCCTTTACATTTGCCTCCCTGTGTCCACATTTGTGGGCTGCTGTGTCCGCCTCTGCACAATCCTTTACATTTGTCCCGGCGCCGGGCTGCTGTGCCCGCCTCTGCCTTCCAATCCTCAATTTTACACTTGTTTCCCTATTTGCAGAGTGTTCCGATTTTGAAAAACACAAACTGTTTGGGGCCTACGGTGGTGTAATTCCAATGTCTTGGCTGGGCTTGGGTTGGGCTAGCTGTGTTTTCCAATTGAGGTCTTCCGCAGTTTAGCAGGGGGACAAACAGCGCCAGCGGGTTTCCTAAATTAATTTTTCACCAAACAGTTTACTGTTGGGGGTTCTCAATTCTTTTGTAAGATGTGTTTGCCCTTTGTGTCACTGCTGCTGTCCGCCCTTTTCCGCTGGCCATGTAGCATTTCTATTCATTTGTCCCCCAGATCTGTCACTGCTGGTGTCCGCCCTTTTCCGCTACTGACCTGCGGCAGTTCTGGAATGGACCTTTCCTGGTGTTGCCACAGCCCCATAAAGAAGCCGATGAAGAGGTGGTGAGAACTTTAGACAGTTGGCGTGATCATCTTGGACGCAGGGAGGTGATGTTGGCTGGAACACTTGTGTGATGCAATGTGCTCACTCTCAAGCAGGACTATGTCTCAGCCTATGCTGCTTTGAAAGCCTCCTTCTTGGTGGTCATTGTGTCCGCCTTGTCTTGCTTCTGTTTCATTTTGTCTCCGGTCTTGTCGCCCTTCTTGTTGATGCCTTAAAAAGTGGACTTGGGAATGCTGCTTCGTTGTTGTCCCACCTGTTTGAGGTCTACGGTGGTGTAATTTTTGTTTTGAACGGCGCTTGTTTCCAAGAGATTCTTGCTGGCTTGCCGACCTTTCCATTTCTCCAGTGAGCGGTGTCCACATGTTTGCTGCACGAAACAATTATATAGCTCGAAGTTCAATGCAAGGCTAGCGAACTTTGAGGTTAAGTGGGAGAGACATCTGGAAACAAGCCATGGCCGGCGCACTGGTGTACATCATACATGCGGTGGCTGTAGCAGGCGAAAGTGTACCGACAAACATGTTGCTGATCGGCGGCTTTGCCAAGTGTGGCACATCACATCTCCACAGAGTCCTGGCCGATCATCCGAAAGTCTTCGCCTTGCGGAAAGAGCTTAAACCTTTGCCCGGAAAACACCAGATGTTTGAAGAGGTGATTTTCTTCTATGCGCGAGAAGTTGCACGCGTTGATGTTAGCAGCCCGGTGCTAATTCGAGACGCCTGTCGCAACAATTTCAACGATAATGAATCCAAACAAGAATGTTTGCGTGCTCTACCAGGTAAAGATGATTCGTTGCCTGCAAAAAAAGATATTGCTCCAAAGATATTGCTGTTCACACACATCAACTTTCACCGGGACCCTGTGCTGATGGAACGATGGGGCGCCACAGTAAAAACCATCTACCTTGTGCGAGACCCTGCAGAGTATTTGTGGGCAGCTTTCAACTATTGGAGAACTGACTTGGATGCCAATTCTGCACAAAAAACGAGTGTTGGCAACTTCTACCGGAGCCCCGAGTTGTTTCATGAGTTGCTTCTGGCAGATGGCCTTCTCAAATGGAAGATGGGCTTGAACGGCCGAACAGGTGAGTGGTTCTTTCTTCTACAAAATGAAACGACTTCTTCTTCTTTAAAAGAAAAAAACGACTTCTTCTTCCGAAATTTCACCTCCTTTTGCGCTCGGAAGATCTTCTGGATCCACATCTCACGGCACTGGCCCTTGGAAAAATCAGCTCTTTCACCGGATTGAAGGCGGAAGACTTCAACTCCTCCTCTTTCAACACCCGGACCAATGCAGGATATTCCGCGTCTTCGAAGGGAATTCTGACAGTGAGTGAACAAACAATGGTGCAAAGCGGAGTCTATGAGCTTTCTGGTTACCGGCCAATGCTTTGCAAGACCCGGATCTTCATTTACCAAAACTACAATGCAGTTTGCCAGGTGTTGGCTGCCAGCAGTTTGCCAAGAAATGTAATTTTTTCTTAAAGCCGGACTCACTCAACGGGTTTCGTGTTTTGGTTGTATGTTGAAAATCTCTTGTTTATGTTGTATGGAACTACTGCAAAGAGATGCTTGTCAAGATCCAAACTCTTGTTGGTCGGTTCCCTTGGCACGTAAGGATACGATGTCACCTACACCGCTTGCCTGTCAAGCACTGGCAAGGAAGCATGCGCAGAAGACGGACCTCGCGAAAAGAAGTTCATCATCCCGATCTTCAATAGGTGTGACGTGGATTTGACAATGAAGCTTTGCACGGTGCTTTTGATCCTAGCATTGGCAAAGTCAGGACACGTTTGATTGTTTTGTTGGGTTCCTAAACAAACAGACGTGTGATCGAACCTGTAATAAGGGGGTTTGGGTAACTCCATTCAAGAGGGGAGTTTTTCTTAGAAAAAGACCGTTTCTCTTAGTTTTGCAAGACATTGGTGATGCGCAAGTGAGGATTGTGTTTTTTGTATGCTTTCTTCACCGATACAACAGACGTGGCTGACTCAAGTTCTAATGGTTGACCTCGCAGAACTCACACAATTCCCCGCGCGCCGAGAGAGAAAGAAGCTGCGGATGATCTGGATGAAAATGTCGGTTGCAGAAAACTCGTTTTGCAACGGTACGATGCCCAGTCTGTAGTCCAAGTGACCAAACCGCACCTTGAACCACGACTGTGCCACGCACCTGTTGGCGTTTGGCTGCCGTCCTAAAAGAGGTCGCTTGATTCAGACTTTTGGGCACCAGATCATCTAAAGGTTTAGTAGTAACAAGAAGCTATTAGAAACAAGTGCATCGCTTCTAGTAACAAGTGCCACGCTAGTAGGAACAAGTGCCTTACTAGTAGTAACAAGAAGCTACTAGGAACAAGTGCCACGCTACTAGTAACAAGTGCCTTACTAGTAGAAACAAGAAGCTACTAGGAACAAGTGCATCGCTACTAGTAACAAGTGCCTTACTAGTAGTAACAAGAAGCTACTAGTAACAAGTGCCACGCTACTAGTAACAAGTGCCTTACTAGTAGAAACAAGAAGCTACTAGGAACAAGTGCATCGCTACTAGTAACAAGTGCCTTACTAGTAGTAACAAGAAGCTACTAGAAACAAGTGCCACGCTACTAGTAACAGGTGCCTTACTAGTAGAAACAAGAAGCTACTAGGAACAAGTGCATCGCTACTAGTAACAAGTGCCTTACTAGTAGAAACAAGAAGCTACTAGGAACAAGTGCCACGCTACTAGTAACAAGTGCCTTACTAGTAGTAACAAGAAGCTACTAGTAACAAGTGCCACGCTACTAGTAACAAGTGCCTTACTAGTAGTAACAAGAAACTACTAGTAACAAGTGCCACGCTACTAGTAACAGGTGCCTTACTAGTAGAA